TTGCGCGTGTAGCCGCCCTCGTCCAGGCCCAGCAGGCGGCGCCACCACGTCGACGCGGCGCCGGCCCGCTGACCCCGCGAGAGGGTGATCTTCCGCTCCTTCTTCCTCGGGGCGCTACTGCGAAAGCGCGTGGTCCATTTGGTCGCGGGTGCCAGATGGTCCTTGGCCCAGACCTTGGCCCTCTTGTGCATCTTTTGTAACTCTCGAGAGTTGCTCTATAGACTTTGCGTGTAGCGCAGCAAGAAGATGAAAAACGTAGAGAGGAAGTTGGATGTGTGTAGCAGAGGAAGGAAGGAGAAGAAGTCGCAAGAGAGAGGGATGGAGGGATGGGGGGTGTGATGTGATAGGGACAAGACGCTCAGTTCGCAGAGGGCACAGAGAGAAGAGTGAAGGGCGTCGGGCTGGGTGTGTGAGGGAGATGGCCCAGCGCCACCCACCTTCTGGTCCAGGAGAGCGCAATTTCTGCGCGAAATCTCAGCTGGTCCGCCCACGAAACGCGCCTTTCGGATTTTTTCTGTAGGGCGAGTCCAAGGGGCACCGTGTTGGAATGCGGTAGAAAATATGAAATTTTTTTCAAAGGTTGATTATGCTTGGCGAAACCAAAAAGTGCCTGGGATTGGAATGCGAGCCTTGGGCGAAACCAATGGAATGAACAGAATTTATTGATTTTCGGCATTCTGCGGATGAATGTTGAACGTGCAGTTCTGGAAATGCGCTCCTGTCCCAATGACCACAGGGTCAGTAGCTCTTCCTTCTTGAATTCCTCATTTATGCTGGCAGCGTGCTGGCTGCAGAGTGCTCCAGAACCCAGGGAGAAACTGGTGTTATGTGCCTCAGTGCATGTTTTCAGTCTAATTTCTGGGCCTCATGTGCAACCCTCATCTGCCTGCAGCAGCCTCAGGTTTCACCCTTGGCCCAGAAATTAGACCAAAAACATGCACCTGCAGCGCCATAACTACCAATTAGAGCCCAGCGTCAATCTAAAAAAGCGCATTTTTGTGGACGTTTTTCTTGCCTTGAGCAGGAAATCAGCCAGAAAACTGGCAGCTGCACCATACCCATTTGTTGTTGACCTAGGTGGTGAATGCCCAATTGATACTTTGTGAAGATTATGGAGGAAACAGTAGTTACTCTCCAGGTTGTCTGCAGAGGACACTGTACAAAGTAATATGCATACACAACAACAAAAACTGTAAAACCATACACTTACTTTATTGCATACACATACATAATAACTACATGTTTGACCTACCAATACTTAGGTTATCATGTACACATACATGATCTGGAAAATCAGAACTTTGCTTGTTTTGTGTAAGTGCTCCTCTGAACACCCTCAAACTGCACTTTGCTTTTTCTTTCATACCCTCCATCAATTCCAAAATCAGTGGCCAACATGCTGCCCTCACCTCCAGTTCATGTTCAACCTCACACCATATTCAGTCAGTTGCACACATGGACTGAACTTCATTCTTCACATTTGTGCTGAATTGGAGCACTATTCCTGAAGTTAAAATTCCACTCCATTCCACTGATAAAATCACTTTTAACTCCATAAATTCCAAGTTTTTATGAAATCATTTTCATCTCAAGTCCCTCAATATCACTTAACCAGCGGTCTAACATGTCAAAATCACACAAGGTCCATTTTGTATTTCCTTGCCGCTGTTATGAGCTGTACAATGTTGGCATTTTCTTTCCTTCCCCCATCCTCCACTCCCTTGATAGTGAACACTTCTCACTCCCCAGCATGTCTAATGCAGTCTATGTTGTTGGTGATCATGCAATGGCCCAATGAGTCTGGCCCTTTCAGGACTTGGTCTATCACGCCCCCTAGAAAGACTGCATCTTGCATCTTTTCCATACAGGTAAGTCCCATTCCTCCATCTTTTGTTTCCATCCATAACCAATTGGATGGGCAGTCTCTTCTTATTTGTAGTGCATGTTTCACTACCTTTTTCATGATTATATCATTTTTTTGGAGGAGTGGGGTGGGATAGTTCACAACACAAATTCCATATTCCACCACTGTGCTCACTATCACATTTATCAGGTGCGTTTTTTGTGACATTACACTAATCCATTCATTTTCTGGTTGAATTTCTTATTGATTGTTTGTATGTGGGTGTCCCACTTTAGGTTGAGTGCCATATGGATTCCTAGGTATTGATATGTTCTTTCAGGCGTTAGTTTTACTACAGTATCTCCCTTGTTAGTTATTGGTGTGAAGGCACTATTGGTGTTGTTTGGTTTACACTGATTTAGTGGCTTTAATTCTTAGTCAACTATCCTGACAGAATCTATTCAGTTCTGTCCATTGGTTGCTCATACCACTCACAGTCCCACCAAGAATTGCAATGTTGTCTGTGATGGCCACTCCTCTGATCCTATCCCCACTCTCCATCTGGTACCCACTTTTGCTTTGGTGTAGTTTTTTGATAATCAGGTTGATGAAGATGTTGAAGAGCAAAGGTGATAGTGGATCCCCCTGTTGTACTCCTTGTGTGATGTGAATTGGGTCTGTTGTGCTGTAGTCTGTGAATATACTAATGGTGTTGTTAGTGTACATGTTCCTGATTAGGTACCAAATTTGGTGGGAAGCTGTATGCACTGAGGGTTTTGTACATTCTTTCTAATACTACACTGTCATAGGCCCAGCTATGTCTATGTACATAATGTGTAGTTGTTTTCTCATATAGTTTGCCTCCTCCATCACCCCTCTCAGTGTGTGTATTTGTGTTGTTGTGGACATTTCTTAGTGGAATCCACCTTGTGCAATACTAATGATATTCTCTCTCTCCACTATATCCATCATTCAGTTGTTTATTATCTTTGTAAACAGTTTGTAAATTTGTACCCATCTAGTGTTACATATTGTCCTTTCGTTTTGTCACACTTCAGTTCTTGTATCATTATTGCATCCAGGTGGTGTTTGTTGGTCCACTCCTGTATTTCAGCTTTCTTATCTTCCCAACCACCATTTATGTTTATGGTAATCTTATCTTAAGTGTTTTATTTGTTATCAAGTTGTTTGCTGGGGAGGGGTACAGGCTCAGTGGGTGGTGTTGTGTTCATCATCACAACATCTGGGTGTGGGGGACCAGTTGTTCCTCCAGTGGCACATCAGTCCTCTTCTTGTTAACAACATCAACCTTGCACAGGTTGATCCTGTTGAAGGTTATCTCTCCCTTGTTTTCATCATGGGGGGCAGGTACCTGTTCTGGTCAGCGCACCCATAGATGGAGATCATCTTGCAGTGTGGTTTCTTGTTATTGTCATAGATGTGGTGTTTCCTGAGGAAGGTGTCAAGATGGTCCATTGTCCAGAATTTGATTCTGTAGCCTCCTGTGATTGTGGTGTCAATGCTCTTGTACAGCATCTTCAGCATGCTGCATTCCTGAATTATCTGCATCAGTTTGAGGCCACTCCCATCCATGATGATTGCCAGTGGCCATTCACACCCCACTAGTGTCCAACAGGATATCAATCTGACCCCTTATACAACAGTGCCAAGATTCACCTTCACTAGTTCCACCTGGACTTGGTTGGTGTTGATGTGTCTGTTGAAGACCAGGGTGGAGCACTGCTTGTGGGGCTTGATGGTGCTTCCTGCCTCCTTGTTGAAGTCATCCCAAATCTTCTTGATGAACTGTTGATAGTCTTCCATGTTGTTGATTGGTGTTTTCCAGATCACCACAACTGGGACCAGTTGGTCCAGGGTATTGTCAACCATCCAGCGGAGTAGGGTGTTGAGGCCCCCAACTTGCACAGCCAAGATGATTCTGTCCTGGTGTGCTTCCTTGAGGTGTCTCTTTTTTTCTAAGTTCTCAAGGAGGGCATTGGAGTGGCGCTCAGTGTTGTTCAGCTGTCTCATTGTTGGCTGGTCAGTGTTGTCTGGGCAGTATGCTGGGTGGGGAGTTGGTCTTCCATTCTCCAATTGGTGTCTCCATTTTGTGTTCTGGATGTTGTTGAGTTGTTGTACTTGTGGTTCTTACTCTTCTCCTTCAATTCACCCATGAATTCACATTCCCCACATCTGTCTCATCCCTCTCCATCTTCTCTTTGGGGGGGGGGGAGTTGTCCCTGTCATTGTTATGTGGTTAGTTAGTGTAAATAGGGGGGTGTTGTTCTTGGGTGTGTAATGGTGGGGGGGTGGGAGCATGAATGATGTGTAATGTGTTCACAGGATTTGTAATGATTTTATTTGCATGCTGTTCCAGGGGTGACCAGTATAGGTGGTGAAGCAGAACAACTTGAGGAGAGACTTGTTGGACTACATCAAACAGAGGAGAGTGTTGTATCATCTTTTCCATTGAACATGGCCCTGTTCAAAATGTGATTGGCTGGTGGATCATTTGGGGGAGCTGAGTATGTCAAGGAACATGCGGAGGGCCTGCTTGTTCTGGGGGCCGGCGCCGTGGGTGAGGCCGTGGATGGCGTAGCCGTAGATGGGCTGAGCCTGGCGGCCGCGCCACCGCTCGAGCATGCGCAGGCCCAGCTCT